ACCGAATTAATTCATGAAGAAAAAACACCTCAAAGCAAAAACCGCAAGAAATTTCTTTACAACCTAATCTTTGAAGGGTTGACTCCGACGAAAACCCGATGAAAAACCAATAATAAAGTTTATTTTTGTCGTAGCTGGAAAACTACTGCAGGAATTTTGGGACTGATCGGATGTGCTACGGCGAAATGCCGGAGGGGTACTTTTTGATGGGGCACCCTGTATAAGCTAGTGTTGTTTTTCTTGGGTCGCCGTCTTCCGTGCTCTCTACGCTTTTACTTCAAGGGATCTCGCCGATTTTAGGGATCAACGACCCTTAGCTTGGATGATTTCTCCAACCGATCGCCCCTACATTATTCGAGGTGCTTTTCACAACAAGGATTAATTTTGTATCTATTATATTACGCACTTTGATTCATCTAAAAGTCATTCGTAAATCATAAAGTCGGGCACGTCTGCGGCCAGCTAGAGATCAGGGGTGGGGGTTGTTTTTTTATTGGGACACCCTGTAGGCTCTATCACTTTCGACGTTTCAGCAAAACATTAGCACGCATGTGCAAATCCTCGCTTGTACGTCTCACCCGATCCGCGATCACGACGGGACGCTATGCAAAATTGGATTGGGCCCCAGGCACGAATGCATTTCTATGAAATGCCCGTGTAAGTTAAAAAACCCCCTAAATTTTTTGAGTTATTTTCGATCAGACGATTTTCGATAGGGCGATTTTTTGATCAGGCGATTTTTCGATCAAGCGATTTTCGATCAGGCGATTTTCGATCAGGAGATTTTCGATCAGACGATTTTCGATCAGGCGATTTTTCGATCAGGCGATTTTCGATCAGGAGATTTTCGATCAGACGATTTTCGATCAGGCGATTTTTCGATCAGGCGATTTTCGATCAGGAGATTTTCGATCAGACGATTTTCGATCAGGCGATTTTTCGATCAGGCGATTTTCGATCAGGCGACTGCCAACCATAAAAACTACACAAATTTTAATAAAAAAACTTAATTTTAGGTCGCTAAATCCTTCGAACCTTTAGGATTCGCGGGGTGGTGGGACGACCCAAACTGACCAAACTTTCGACTTTTTCAAGCATTTTTCTAAATTTTTTAAAAGTTTTACTGCTTTAAATCATCTATGGTAGGGATCCACCGATAACATTAATCACAATAAATTTATTCAGAACCCGTTGTTCCGGTTTTTTTCTCCATCGAATCGTCATTCCTACGGATGTTTCCGGAGCTAATGAGGCTGGCATCGACGTGGCCGTGGTAATTTCTATAGGGTATCCCAATAAAAAAGGTCAAGGTGGCGTTTCAAATTTGCTTGGTCGGATTGGCTTGCAAGTTTGACCACAGCTGCACAAAGAACTTAGAGGTTGCACTATATTTAAGGTATGGATCACACGGGAAACCGCCAAAATGACGACATTCAAAATGACGACAGCCAAAATGCCGACAGCCAAAATGACGACAGCCAAAATGACGACAGCCAAAATGACGACAGTAAAAATGCCGACAGCCAGAATAGCGACAGCCAGAATGACGACAGCCATAATGACGACAGCCAAAATAGCGACAGCCAAAATGGCGACATTCAAAATGACGACATTCAAAATGACGACATGCAAAAATTTGATTTTTCCCAGCTATTATGGCTGATTTTGCATGTCGTCATTTTGAATGTCGTCATTTTGAATGTCGCTATTCTGGCTGTCGCTATTTTGGCTGTCGCTATTTTGGCTGTCGTCATTCTGGCTGTCGCTATTCTGGCTGTCGTCATTTTGGCTGTCGTCATTTCGAATGTCGTCATTTTGGCTGTCGTCATTTTGGCTGTCGTCATTTTGGCTGTCGTCATTTCGAATGTCGTCATTTTGGCCGGAAATCGGATCATACCTCTTTAGGCGCGTCATGGCCTTGCGATGACTGCACAACTACCAAATGTTAGGAAAAATGCTATTTCGATATTAAAATTAAGTTTTTGTGAACGTCTCAGTGAGTCTTTTTGTTAGGAATCAAGGTTCTGTTCTATTTCGCGTGGGGGAAAAAACTGTGCGGGGGAATTTTCTTCGTTTTTTTTTATAACTCTTTTATATGATGCTATTTTGGGTTGTCAATAAAACTCTTAGTAAATTTTTTGACGCTCTATCGAATGGCATTAAAGAAATTTTCGAAAGTTATTGAAAATGTCGAAAACTAGCTTTCGACTCCACGATCCCATGTGGAAACACCGAATAAACCTTCTTTTTGCTATAACTATTTTATAAAACAATATTTTTAGAAGAAATTAAAACTCTTAGTATATTTTTTTGATGCAGTATCGAATGACGGGTTCAAAATATCGAAAAATTGGCGAAAATGCTGAAAACTAGCATTCCGGAACCAGCTTCCATAGTTTTTTTTGTTTTTACTATAACTTTTTTATATTACAATATTTCTAGCTAAAACAAAAACCCTTAGTATATTTTTCGATGCTCCATCGAATGGCGTTGCAAAACTCCTGAGAAAATAGCCGAAAAGATGGAAGGTTCCGCGAAGCATATTTCCCGCGTACAGTTTTTTCCCCCACGCGAAATAGAACAGAACCGGAATCAATTAGCCTAGGCCGGGAGTTGCGTTAGCCGATATAAAGGGACCGAGCGCGTTATTTTCATTTTTTCTACGGGGTCAGGGTTCAGAAGCCGTGAAGGCGGTTTTTTAACCCTGCTTCATATAGCTAGACGTAGCCATTTTCAAGATTTTTAGCGGTAAGGGGGGCCGAATGCACTGCTAAACAACCATAGACACTTGCAGATGGCCACATCATCGCGAGGCGCTCGAGCAATGCTTCACAGACCGATGACTCTGTCTTTTGTAGCCCTGCCAAAATCTGCCAAAAATGTTTGTGAAGACCTAACTGCGACAGTACCCATTAACTCCTTTCAGCCTTTGAACTGCCCCGCTTCAATGAGCGCTTCACCGGACTGCCATATCGATTCGTGTACGGAAGGACGATACTATACGCTGGGCAGGAACATCGGCTTCCCGGGGTTGGTTCCCGCCTTTGGCGTTTTTTATTGTTATTCTGAAATGACTGCATCATATAGTACTGAATATACAGGATATACTGAATGGACAATTTTGATGCTCACTTTTTAAGGTGGTCAAAAACGATGTCAACCGCGATGGAACAGTAATCTACTACAAGGACGATCCGGAGCAACTTTTCGGAGAGCCTGTTTTCGTACCAAGTCCGAACGGAACGGCCGAAGATGACGGTACCATTATATAAATTAAACATTTTTTTCAAGACTTTTAGGGGTGATCTTGGTGCCGGTGATGAGCGCCAATAAGCGGCAAAAGCCAATTTTCATGATTGTCGACGCCAGAAGCCTTCGCGAGATTTGCCGGTGCGGTTTAGCTGCCCCAAATCAACGACAAAACATTCAAGTCGCTTCCGAGTTGTCGCAAAAAAATACCAACACACTTTTTTTCAGCTACGTTCCACCCGTTCCACGAATCCCCATGGGCTTTCACGCAATATTCGTCGATGCGGCAGCTAGTGACAAAGAACAGTGACTATCTAAAAACGTTTTGTAAAACACAGCCGAAATACTGTGGTATACCGTTGGAGTAGCATTAATTGTGGGCTAATGTGGAGGTAGCATTCATTCTTTTATATTTTGTAACTTTTGCCATTTACTTAACTCGTGCATTTCGAATAAATCCATTTTACGGGAAAAACGAGATACTATATATACCATTTACTATATACTACATATTTACGCTTATATTTTATATATATTTTACGCCATATACCTTTTTAGGTTCACTTATCAGTTATTCGGGTTTCGGGCGATTTTCAGGTGCATAAATGGTGAACTGTGGCCTAGATCTTATATTTGAGAGCTTGTTGGACATCTTACCTACAATGAGCCTGTTTATTTCAAGTGTTTACAAATGGCAATAACGATTTATAATCCAAAACCGGTTTTTTGCAGCTTCTACGTCTTAAACATGCCCGTTCCAAATCGGATCTACACAGCGGTGTTCGAATTTTCAACCACGCTCGGAATTGACAATTTTTTGCAAACGCTCCAAATATACAATTTTTTGGTTTTTGCATAGCACTTTAAAGTTCAGAAGCTGGGACTTCTCCTTACGTAGCCGGGGTCCCGCCACGAATCCCCTGCAGCACAGCACCGAACCCGGCGCCTCCAGTCCAATAGCCGAAAACACGGCCCGTATTGGGTCACCGAAAGATTGACGGGATTTGCTTGATAAAATCATCATCACTTTAAATTTATTAAATTTCATAAATTGTAGTATAAGCGTGATATACGTGGTGTGAAGAGCTTTTGCCGCTTCTCGCGAGTAACTAGTGGCCGGAACGGGTTTTGCTTGTCTCGCTTGCGTGAGCAAAACGTGTAGTTACTATCGATAGAAAGCGTCTGGTGGTTACCGTACGCTCATTTTAACGTTCGCACGTATTAGAACTATAGTATCGTTAATATACCACGCTGTATCTGTTCTACTATGGACTCAACACCTCATGGGTGCCGCGATGCATGCAGCTTACCTCAGTGCCTTGATTAATGCTAAACATAGTTCGGCATGGGATGAATGGGTGTATGTTCGATATTTCGCTAGCTGCGTAATGTCATCTAGATGACGGTACACCTCAGATTTTGCTGCCAGCGTCCCATTTTCTATATTAAAATCAAGTTTTTCTGAAAACCTTGGTCATACTTTGCTACAAAATATTGGCAGGTACCAAAATTGTGGTTAACCTAAAGAAATTGAAACGTTCGCTCCGATTCAGGCCGCTGAAACAATCTTTTAGACGAAACTATGTTTAACTTCCACTTCGGGGCATATTATCACAAAATTAGTGCGAGTCATCGCGTTGATCTAATGATTCTTTTATAAAGTTTCCGCCGCTTTCTTTTCTGCCTTCACGCTTTCTTTGCTTTACTGACATTGTGGTGGAGGTTTCATTACAATCGATTTCCATTCCAGGATGCCCGCAGTCAAGGGCGATGGCATGCGGGGGTTGGCCGTGTTCATCTCCGACATCCGCAACTGCAAGAGCAAAGAAGCCGAGCTGAAGCGGATCAACAAGGAGCTCGCCAATATCCGCAGCAAATTCAAAGGTACTGGCTTCGAGTTTGATCATGTTTATTTGAATTCAGGTGACAAGACGCTCGATGGGTATCAGAAGAAAAAGTACGTCTGCAAGCTGCTCTTCATCTTCCTGCTCGGCAATGACATCGACTTTGGCCACATGGAGGCGGTCAATTTGCTGTCGTCGAACAAGTACACAGAGAAGCAGATTGTCGGTTTTTCGATAGAATTTTTGGGACTTTGGTCGTGATATATATGAACCAAGTTGGTGCTTTCGCCTCAATTTACAGTAAATCTAAGGAAATGGCCGTTATTAACTCTTATTAACTTAGTAACTATGTTTGTAGCGTTTTTCGTCAAAAAATAATACTACATTTTCTCTGAAAATTTTCAAAAATCGAATTATTTGGTCAAAAATGGCCGTTTTGTGCCCAACATTTTACACTTGTTTTTACGTTTAGGAATAATAAAGAAATAGTTTAGAAATACTTGCACTATTTATATTTGAAAAACTGGATCCTAAGAAAAAAGTTGCCCCCCCCGTCACGATAATGAACAACCTCCAAATTTACTCAAGGAATTTTCAGGGCTACCTCTTCATCTCGGTCCTCATCGAGCAGAACTCGGATTTGATGAAGCTCATCGTTCAAGCTATCCGGAATGATTTGGTTCGCGACTTTTCCAATTCCTTAAAACCCCCATCTAGACCTCCCGCAATCCGGTGCACGTGAACCTGGCCCTGCAGTGCATCTCGAATATTGGCTCCCGGGATATGGCCGAAGCTTTTGCTCAGGTGAGATTTTTACCGGCTCTTTCGCAAGTCTTTTCACAAACAACTTAATTTTTCATTCAGGACCTACCAAAGCTGCTCGTCTCCGGCGACACGATCGACTTCGTCAAGCAATCCGCCGCGCTCTGTCTGCTCAAGCTTTCCGAACCTCGCCCGACGTGATGCCGTCGCCAGATCATGCTTCACGCATCGTACACCTGCTCAACGATTCACACATGGTACGCGGATGATTTATGACCATCGAACAGAAAATTTGAAAATCTAAAAATTCGCATATGCTGTTGGCATAAGCTCCTTTTCTGTTGAGATTGAAATTTCGGGTTGGGTCCATTCCAACGCGGGATATCGACTTTTTAATGCTGAGCTCACCGAGTTATACTATGTAATTAATTTAGGGCGTCGTCACCTCAGCCGCGTCGTTGATCGAGGCTCTTTCGAAGCGATGGCCAGAGGACTACCGCGGCTGCGTATCGCTCGCCATCTCCAGGCTCAGTCGCATCGTCACGTCCACCTACACCGATTTGCAGGTGCTTTTTTGCTAAAATTGTGTTGAGAACCAACCATTTTCCCGCCCATTAACTTTTTCATGATTTTCAGGACTACACATATTACTTTGTGCCGGCACCATGGCTTTGTGTGAAGCTCCTGAGGTTGCTGCAGAATTATCCGCCACCTGGTACGTATAAAATCTTGGCTCTTGCTTTTTCTTGCAATTCGGAGCATTTATCAGCAACGAATTGCTTCTTTTCAGAAGATCCCTCGAACAAGGCGAGACTGCTCGAGTGCCTCGAGGGCATCCTCAACAAGGCCCAGGATGCGCCAAAGTCCAAGAAGGTCCAGCACTCGAACGCGAAAAATGCGGTGCTTTTTGAGGTGGGGTTTTTAGTGAACATTCAAAAAGGGTTTTTCTCAGGCTATCGCTCTGATCATCCACATGGACAGCGAGCCTAACCTGTTGGTCCGGGCCTGCAACCAGCTCGGCGCCTTCCTGACCCACCGCGAAACCAACTTGAGGTTGGTTCATGTCGATACGAAAACCTTGGTTTAGATACCTCGCCCTCGAGTCGATGTGTCTGCTTGCGACGTCCGAGTTTTCCCATGAAGCGGTAAAGAAACACCAGGAGACGATCATCACGTCGTTGAAAACCGAGCGGTAATTTGACAACGTATTCGATCACTGATGAACGGTTTCTAGGGACGTCTCCGTACGCCAGCGGGCCGTCGATCTGCTGTACGCGATGTGCGATCGAACAAATGCCGGGGACATCGTCCAGGAGATGCTCGCCTACTTGGAGACGGCGGACTATTCGATTCGCGAAGAGATGGTGAGAGCTTTTTGCTGATTTTTATTCTTTTGTTCTAGGTGTTGAAAGTCGCCATCCTCGCCGAAAAGTACGCCACCGACTACACGTGGTACGTGGACGTCATCCTGAAGCTGATCCGCATCGCCGGCGACTACGTTAGCGAAGAAGTCTGGTACCGTGTCATTCAGGTCGGTATTGATTTTCTGGTGACTTCTTGAAACAGTCTGGGCCCTCAAAAAGAGAAAAACATTTTTTTTTCAGATTGTCGTTAACCGCGAAGACGTGCAAGGGTACGCGGCAAAAACGGTCTTCGAGGCGCTGCAGCGACCGGCTTGCCATGAAAATATGGTCAAAGTCGGCGGATATATTCTCGGCGAATTCGGCAACCTCATCGCCGGCGATCAACGATCCGCGTTCGTTTTTTATCCTTTGGGTCCTTCGGATTTCGGGAGGCTCTTTTACACCTGTTTTTTTAGCCCTCAAGTCCAGTTCGACCTGCTTCACTCAAAGTACCATCTGTGCAGCATCAACACACGCTGTCTGCTCCTCACCACCTACGTCAACCCTGCAACTTGTTCCCGGAGATCAAGCACGTCATCCAGGAGGTGAGTAGATTTTTGGTTCTCGCCTCTATTGCATTTTTAGGTCTTCCGCACCGATCACAACCTCCGGAACCCTGACGCCGAGCTGCAACAACGTGCCGTTGAGTACCTGCAGATGAGCCGTGTGGCATCGCCGGATGTGTTGGCCACAATCCTCGAGGAGATGCCCCCATTTGCCGAAAAGGAGAGCTCTCTCCTCGCCAAGCTCAAGAAGCACAAGCCACAAGTGGAGGAGCTGGAGACGGTCGCCCAGGAGAAGAAGAGTCGGCCCCAGGCTGTGATGGCGCACGAAGGGAACGGCGGCATTGGCTCGCTTGTCGATCTAGACCATTCCTCCCAGTCGGACGCGGCCGCGCTCGTAGATATTTTCGGCGCCCCGGCGACAACAGCATCGTCGGGTAGTCACTCTTCCACTAGCCCGGTGCCATCTGGAGAGCCGGTCGTCGTCAACAAGGACGACTATACAAAGTGCGCTTTTAATTTGCTTCTGGTTCTTTTGTAAAATATGCGGAAGCATAACCTTTTCCCGTAGAACACAGTTTTTCTAATATAGACAGAGAAGGCGTTTTTTTGCTTTTCTAACCCTCAAAAGTTTTAGGATTGCAAAAACTACGGTTTTGTTAGCAAATTAATCAGATTTTTTCACCACAATTGCATCTTGTTAGATAGATTTCTTTCTAGCTTTTTGAAACATTTTTTGGTTGGATATAGCTATATTTTATCAAAAACACTATAATTTTTGGCGCATTTTACAAATAGTCTTTCCACTTCTAAGGTACGGGCCATTTTAGGAAAAATGGATGTCTAGAAATTGTTGCCGGTGTTGAGAAAACAACTTGTTGGCTTATAGAAAAAACACATTTTTTAGGTTCGTCACCAAGATGAACGGCGTGCTATACGAGGACGAGAGCATCCAGATCGGCATCAAGCTGGAGGCGAGGAACAATTTAGCCCGACTGGGCATGTTCTACGGCAACAAGACGCCCAGCCAGTTCACCGACTTCAAGCCGGTCGTCGTTTGCCCCGGGGGCGCTTTCCGTGCAGCTGCAGGCTCAGGTAAATTTCTTTGGCTGTTTTAATTAATTTTTATATTTTTTCAGGCCAAGCCCATCGACGCCTCGGTGGGCCCGATGGCTCAGGTGCAGCAGTTGATCAACTTCGTCTGCGTGCAAGAGTTCAACCGCATGCCGATTCTGCAGATTTCCTTCAATTACACGTGAGGTTTTTCTTAGCTCTCTATCCTCGTTTCTTTCAGTCAAACTGCCGGCGGGGCTGCGCGCTTCGACAAATTCTTCTATCTGCCGATTTTCATCAACAAGTTCTTCGAGCCGACGGACATGACCAGCGAGACGTTCTTTGCCAGGTTGGTTTTGGATTTTATGACGTGTTGACGCGGTGTTTGATTGCTATTTTTTATTTTTCTAGATGGAAAGCCCTCGGGATCCCGTCGCAAGAGAGCCAAAAGATCTTCACGGCCAAGCACCCGATCGACACGGCGGCCGTCAATGCAAAGGTGGCTTTTTGCGCTGATTCTCTAGCATCTATTTGATTTTGCTAGCTCAGAAAGTCTACGATTTCTTTTAGCTAACCGGCGTCGGCGCCAAACTGCTCGTCGACGTCGACCCGAACCCGGATAATTTCGTCTGTGCCGGCATCATCCACACGCAGACCCAGCAGATTGGCACGCTGATCCGGCTGGAGCCCAACAAGCAGGCCAAGGTCAGTTTTCTCGTGAAGTTGGAAATTGGGTTTTTGGCCAAGAGGCAGCGTTTTTCTTTCTTTTTTCTGCGCATACGGATCCGTTTTTCGTTCGGAACAGTTCGAGATTTAGCTTGAGGCTTAGTAGGTCTTTTGTGCGGATTTTCGGTTCTTTTGCATTATCGGGGGAACAAACTTTTGCCTCAGCAGCCGGTTTTTTGCAATATAAATATAGAAAGTGGTTTGCAACAGTTTTCATGATTCCTAAATGTAAAAATGTCGCAAATTTCGATTCAAAATTACAAAATTTTGATTTTTCGTCCAAAAAATGGCCGATTTTCGAGAATTTTTCAAAAAGCTATGAATATGCTTAGTATTGCGTTGCTAAACATTTCTCGGCTTGCAGGAAAAAAGTTGACCCCCATCGATAATGCAACAGAACCGTATTTTCAGACTCTGTCTTCTTCTGCATCAAAAGGGGCATCGAATAGCGTTTCTCGTTTTTCAAAAACCTCGATACGATTTCACGTAATTTCCCCGTGAAACATGCCTAAAAACCTGTTCAGAAATATCGGCTGACCGTCCGCTCAAGCAAGGACACCGTGTCGCGCTACCTGTGTGACGTGCTGGCCGAGCTGTTCTAGACACCGTTGACCTCCCGCCATCCCCTTCCCCTGCCCATTTCACTTGGAACTCTAGGATTTTTGCGGGCGGCTAACAATTGGGATTAATTCAGCGCGAAATCGGAGGCTTATCTTTGGCGTGACAGATTCTTACCTGGATTTTAGAGAAAAATCATGGCTTCTCGACGTTCGCCAGAAATCCCATTGTTGTTGCCCTAATTTTTTTACAAATGCGGCCCGCCGTTCCCCAGTTCATTCCAGTGCCCTTTGCTCGCACCGCAGTTGCCCTTTTTGCGCTTGTTGTTCACCACCCCCCCCCCCCCCATTGAATTACGTAATCTGTCAACCAGCATCCCAAATCTGTGCGAGTTCCCCGTTTTTCGGATTTTTGTAGAGAATTTTCCCTCCGCGTTGTGCCTCTCGCCCATTGAGTTTTAGGAAACAAATTTTTTTAAAGGGTCCGTAGAGTGGGAATTGCTTTTTTCTAGCTTCAGAAAAATATTTTATTTCCTTCCTCGCGGTCCCTTTAGCCCCCCGAGAATTCTATATATTTTCCCAATGGCCTTGCTCCAAAATCTCGTCGTAATCTCACACGCAGACAACTCCCATGTAGTGCTAGCCGTCCTTTCCCCCCTCGAGATTTCCCACCTTGCACAAATTTAATTTCATTTAATTTGGTGTAATTTTCACAAATTGGCGCGCATTTTAACACCCATTCCCCCCTCATCTCGAACAAACACATTTTCGACACACCCCTCCTCATCCATGAGCTCCACTTTCCCATTTGCATAATTTGGCCTGTGTTTTTTTGTGTGCACTCGTCTGGTCGTTCACTTTCGCGTTGTGCTATGCCAAACCGCGAGCAGAGTTTCCGATGTCGGTTCTTTTGCATTATCGGGGGAGACGAAGTTTTTCTTCTAGTCTTTTTTTTTACGATTCCGAACGTAGTTGAAATTTCTATTGAAAAATACATAAATATATCGATTTTTCGACCAAAAGTTCACGTAAAAATTTTTCTGATTTTTTAAAATTTTTTTCAAGTAGAATAACGTATTATTTTACTAAAAAACGCGATAACATCCCTTAATATTACGTTACTAAGCATTTTTGGACTTATAAGAAACAAGGTGCCCCCCCCCCGGTAATGTATAAGAACCCCACTATAGAGCAAATTTGTGTTTCTTAAATTAATTTATGCCCCGCCGAGAGTTGTGTATTTATTTTTAGGTTGTCCGCCGCGCCGCGCTCCCCATAGCCAGTGTTGCTTCTTCCACATAATTTATTGAGCTTCCACCTGTAGTTATAATTTATTCAGATTTTCCTCCCCCTTCTATGTAATGCCAAATACCCCCAAAATTATTTCCCCATTTCCCAGCCCTGGCCATCGCTCTGTGTTTCCCACCTCCTCTTTGTGTATCTGTAGCAGCAATAAATTATTCTAGTTTCGCGTTAAAAGTTACGATCAACGATTCCAGACTATCAGTGCGATATTTCGAACCCCGAACGCGATTATGGGCCGAATGACTCGCCGTACACAAAAATTAAAGGCGCCGACGTCATCACCTCGGTACTGGGCAATGGCCAATGACTCGACTTTCATCTGCGGGGTCATCGAAGGTCAGTTTTAGCGGGCGCATTTTGTATTTTCATTGTGACGAATTTCTTCGATCGCTATTTTGAGTAACTTTTGCTGGACAGAATTATTATTATAGTTATTATTTAAAACAGGCATAAGCGGCTTCAGCATAGTGAAAATTTCCCTAGTAAAAAAGTTTTCATCCCCACCGGTATATCTTTTACTGCATTTTGCGCCGTTTTTTTGTTATCTGAAAATTTATGAACAATGTTTAGATTTTGGAACCCTATAGCCAAAATGATTTTCTCCAAGGCACACTTAAAATTTTATCGCTGGTTTTTTGTGGGCTTGTAACACTCAAAACCCTGCAAGCTGCTAGGTGTAAGCGAAATTGTATAAATTAGATTCCCACATCGAAAATCCCGATTTTTCTTGTGTGGTCGATTCAGCAAAAAAGTTTAAACAGCATAGTTTGTTCCCTAGGTATCAGGAGGGAGTTTGGAATTTGATGAAAATCTATAAAATATGGGTAGGGTTTCCAAAAAGAAACGGATTTGCCGAAAACGTTTTATCGTCTTTTTTTAGGCTTCTACGGCCGCCCCTGGACGCAGGACCAGCGTGTGGACCTCTACAAGAAGCTGGAGCACTACCAGCTGAACTGCTACGTGTACGCGCCGAAGGACGACCTGAAACATCGGCTCTCCTGGCGGGAACTTTACACCGACGAGGAGGCCGGTACGTTTTGATACGTGTTTTTTTTTGGTCGAAAATCCCGTCTCGCTCTCTGTAATATTTTGATATCCATTTTTATTCAGAGAGTCTTCGTCACCTCATCGCCGAGGCGCGCCTTCACAATCAAATGTTCGTCTACGCTCTCTCGCCCGGCAACGACATCCGCTATTCGGACGAGGGTGACATTAATGCAACGAGGCGCAAGTTGGAGCAGGTCGGGGATTTTGAACCTCTCGATCTCTCTCTCTCTCTCTCTCTCTCTCTCTCTCTCTTTCCAGCTTCAATATCCTTTTCCAGGTCCAATCTCTGGGATGCACCAGCTTCGCTCTGCTGTTTGACGACATCCCCAAGGAGATGCACCGCGCCGACCAAGATCGCTACGACTCCTTCGCCCAGGCGCAGGTTTGCGACTTTCGGCATTTTTTTAAAATCTCTGATTTAGGTGCAAGTCACCAATAAGATTTACGAGATGCTTGGGCGGCCGGTGTTCATGTTCTGCCCCACCGGTGAGATTTTTCTATTGCGGCGGGATGCCTTAATTTTTAGAATACTGCGAGACACGCGCCCACCCGAGGATCGCCGACTCGGAGTACCTCGACACGGTCGGCCGCTTCTTGCACTCGGAGATTTACGTGATGTGGACGGGTGAGGGAGTTTTTTTCCGGAACCTTTTTTGATCGGTAGAGAGCGCTAAGTTTTTCACAGGGATCGGCAGGAACGAAAGAGTTGCATACAAAACATTTTTTTTAGTAATTCCCGTATTAAAATTAAGTAATATTCGAAAAAATTCAGTTTTGGTTGAGAGTCTTTACAAAAAGACAAAAAACTCGCGAAAATGCTATTTTTTGTCGTTTTTTTCATGGTTCTTATAATTTTCTCGTTACCGCGATTACAAAAATAAGTTAATACTAGTTGTTGAATAAATCCCCGTTACATCTGAAGCAGACCTTTGCTAAAAAATCATTTTCCAGGCCCAAAGGTGATCTCTCGCTGGTTGACGCCCGCTCACTGTGCCAAGGTGGAAAAAGTGCTGCGCCGGAAGCCGTTGATTTGGGACAACTACTACGCCAACGACTATGATATTCGCCGGACGTACCTTGGGCCCCTGGAGGGTTAGTTCATCTTTTGGATGTTTTAATTTTAGTTTAGGCCGCTCCGTTGCGGTGAAGGAGTCGATCTCCGGGCTGCTGCTCAACCCCAACAACAAGCATGAGACGAACCTGATGGCCATCGCCACGACCTCACAGTGGCGACACGCCGTCGCGGATGCGGGTACGGGATTTGCCTCAATTTATTTATATTACCGATAGCTTCCTCTAACCGAAAATACATTATTTTGTGCTGTATTTGTAACTCTTCGTATATTTTTTTGGTGCGCTATCCACTAGCGCTAAAAATTTCGACAAATAGCACGAATCTGGTAAAATGGCGTACAGGCACGATTTTTAATGTTATAGTTTTACATTTTTAGATGGGATGAACACCGAGGACAACGCGTCGTCGAAGGTCTACTGCCCGGAAGAAGCTCTAAACAAGGCGCTCGCCGACTGGGAAAGCTTTTCAACACGGAGACTGCGTAAGCTTCTGGGTTTTTCAAGGATTTTTAGCCTTTTTTGGATGATTCTGTTGAAACTAGCTCAAAAATTAAGTGGTTCGGAATAAATAGTGAATAATTCATTTTTAGTGAGGTCCCCACCGTCAAGCCGCAAAACTACCAGGAAGGCCTGGAGAATCCGGATATCCCGTTGCCAAGTGGTGAAATTCTTTCAAATCAGTAATTTATCTTTTAGAATCGGCCGCTGTCAGCCGCTCCGGCTCGGTGGCGATGGACAGCGACTTGACGGTGCCGCCCGACGTCTCGGCCGAGGTGGCCCTGCCGGTGATGGCCGTCGACGAGATGGTGCACGCTGTCATGGGCGACCCGAATTTGGTAGGCGTTTTAGGGCCAGGGTTCATGCCAATTTTCAGCAAGACGCGACCGAGCCGGACCTCGTGAACTCGTTGGTGCCCGAGTACAACACCTGCACGGTGATGGGCACGCCGATTGGGGCAAATTCGCATAAGAATAGGTACGAATTGATGGTACGGTGTCCAAAAATTGTTTTTCTAGCCACGAAGAAGGAGCCACGGGGACCAGTCGCTGCGAAGACGGAAGCGGCCGAAATGACAACAACAAGGGCGTAGGGCTCCGAAATGACGTTTTATACCTTCTTACAGTGCTCACTTGCAAATCACGGCCGCGGACCTGCGCAAGCTACTCGACATCTTCTACCTGCCCTTCCAATACGGGCCCCAGGTTGAGAAGGTGCGATTTTGATTTTGTCGGAGGAAATTTTTTGACTTTTGTTTCTGGTTCTTTCACGTTATCGGGGGCTGCAATGTTTTTATCTATAACTTAACAGGAGGTATTTTATTAAGTTTTTGAGTAAAATTTAGCTGTATTCAAGACTAGAAAAAACCTAAAAATTTGAAAAATAGTTTTAAAAGTTTGTATTTTTGGTCAAAAGCCGATTTTTTTGTATAGGTTAGTCGAAATTTGAGAAGTTTGTACGTTCATAAATAGTAAAAGAGAGTTCAAAATACTTTCGCTGTTTATTTGAAACATTGGAGCCTAGAAAAAACTTTGCCCCACCGATAATGCCAAAGATTCTTGATATAAGCTGCCCCATTATTTTAATTTTCTTGATATTGAACTATTCCAGTTGCTGACCACGCTTGTCTACTTGCTGAACAACGCGCACAAGGGGGACCGCGGCTGCTCGCCGACGACGATCGAGTATTTTTGCTCCGTATTCCACAGCAAGTTTGTGTTAGTGGTTTACGCCAGGCGATCGCCGACGATGTACCAGTTTGTCAACGAGTTCAACGGGTTGTACTGGAAGATTATGGAATGGCCCGAATAAGGTGATGAGATTTACAGCCGAGTGTTCACTGAACGTCAAGCCGTTCGAATTTTTTGATGTAAAATATTAAAATTAGATTAAATTGAAATATTAAAAATTAAGTAAAAGATTTTCTTTCCAGCCCCTGCTCTCCGAACTGCTACCGTACGTCTGGGACGCTCACGGGACGCTGTCGCTGATTGAGGGCTTTCCACTGGATTGCCGCCGGAAATATGAGACGTCCGCTGAAGGGTACGCCGTTGTTTGCTTGGCCCGGGAGCCGCTTTATATGAATATTTCCGTGTTCTTGATTTTTGATGATTTTGGTAGAGTATGAAGATGATCAGAAAAAATTTGGATGAAAGTAAATTATATGAGGCGAGAATTAGAATTAACCACTTTATAAAGCGGTTGCCGGGATTTAAATATTTTATTCTATTCCATTCCCCCGTTTTGTTAAATTTTTTGTCCAAGTTTGATGAGGCTGTAGAAAAGCCCTTGATTGGTTTTAGTGATTTTTTCTTAAAACATCTCAGTATTTCTGTACATTTTAAAAGCTTTCGAGATTTGAAGTCTAGGTTTCGACCATCAGAGATCTTTTTGGCTGTCTATTTATTTGTACTAGAAACGAAAATAATCAAAATTCTGAGGCTATTTTGGAATTTATGCCATTTTTAATACTTTAAGGCCTTGACCGAGAAACGCGTCATCACGTGGACCAACGCGACGTTTGGAGGACGAGGCATGGTGCGGGGTTTGTCCGCAAATTTTTTCCGGATTTTGTGTCGTAAACCGGTGATTTAGGCTCGCGGCTTTCCATCACACGTGTGACCGGGGTGTGGCAAAAACGATGGTCTGCTGGACTTGCTCGTGAATCGGGTATTCGCTGCGCCAAATTTCACACGTGGTGTTAGAATCCGCTCAGAGGCGTTGATCCCGCACTTTCCACGTTCGGACCGTCACCGTGGAGACATGCGCTGGGGTACTGAATTCTGCTAAAATTATCTTTTTTTTCGTATGTATGATTATGGTATGTAACTTTCAAAGTGATTTATAACTAAACCACGATCGATCAAAGGAATCTCAAATTTTAAAAATAGCTTTATTTAACTAAATTGTTCGAGGTTTCCAAATCAATGTTTTTGCTAGGATACGGGAATTGATTAAATTCAGACCACGACTTGAATTGTATCAGCTTTCTAAATTTAGTGCGGAAAGCTGAATGAGCTTGTAGGCAGTTCTATGGATTTTGAAGCGAATTTTGAAGGCCAGAATTTATATAGCGCTTGTGAAGTTCTTAGTCACAGAATTTAATAATTTCGTACTTTCAAAATGCATTTATTTATTTAGATCAACTCATCATCAATTTGGCAACGGCGAACCGCCGGCTGAACTGTCTGAGGAGCTCTTTGATCGGTAATTTTAATTTTCGATTTTCCGCAGCACTTTGCAGTTACTTTGTCCTGCACACCTTCTCGCCGACGGAGCCACACTTTGGGGTTCATCTCCTACGAGGAGGGTGGAGGAGACGCGTAGTGTGCGTTTCGGCACTTCGGTGCTGGGACCGGCATCAAAAATGGTAAGGGCTTTTTACGCTGATTTAACTTTTCGGAATATGGGACGGCACATCCTATTTTTTTCAGTTGACTTTATTTCAGTAACATTTGGGGGTCTCATCACCCTGAAGTGATGGAGAAGTACGTAAGGAATTGATCTTGGATTAGTGAGAATTTTTGCGTTGCTTTAAAGACACTGTGAGTTTGTCTTATCGGTCTTGGCGATTGCTCCACCATTATGGGCGACGCGGCATTCTTTTAGCCTCTTTGATACATCGAAATCATGCTAATTTGGCACATTATGATGCCATTTCTAGGATCCCGAAGCTATTTTAATAATGCTAGCTGTTTGAATTAATAAAATTTACCCGAAACAGAATTTATTCGCGCGAAATCGATTTCCTGGTCATTTAAGGCGGTGAAAGTTAATTTTTCGCACCACACAATTATTGTCGAAAAATGCGTTTTTTTTTTTGCTGAATTAATAAATTACTTAAAGATATATATGAAGGATGGAGATTAACCTTTTTTAGAAAGACCGCAAGGCCAAGATCAACCTGTGGAAGCCGCATGGCGTCTCGTCGGACATCACGCAGCGATATCCTTCCCGAATTGTAAGTTTCTGTTTTTTTTTTGGAAAGTCTATTCTTTTTTAGCACCTGCACGCCAAATTCTGCACCGACGACTCCGTAGCGATGAAGCGCATCGTGCAGACGCTGGCCACCGTGCTGTCGTACTCGGGCTCGGCCGGCGTGCACGTCGTCTGCGAGCCAGACGACTACCAGAAGATCTCCTTCCTCGCCAAGCTCCAGTTCAACCTGATCCCCACGAAGCGCGCCGACGGGTTGGAGATCTACGGGTACCGGTATGTTGTTTTTTGTTAAATACTACAGGGTGTTTGGCCGTCCGCATTTGGCCGTGTCGTTTCCGATCGCGCCCAAATTTTTACCAGCGATGGAGACCCATAGAAACTATGTTCAGCCGAATTTTCAGAGCAAAATAGCAGAACAAAAAATTACGGATTTCGGCCTCATAAGCTTTATTTCACAAAAATGAAGTGGACTATCTAAGCAATTCTGTCGTTGCGAAATTATATTTTCAATCGAGCCTTTTAAGCATTTATCAAAAACCCGAAAATGTCCACTTTTCGGCAAATTGCCCAAAATAGCGAAATCTTAATCGAAAACGGGTTCCGAGCTTTCCAAAACATCGGTTTTTAGTGAGAGTTTTTGGTTTTACATTTTTTTCTTTGAAACTTTGGCTGACCATGGTTTTTATTGGTTCTTATAGCTCGGAAAGATTTGGGCCCTTTTGTATGCTTTGCTAAAAATGCCGATAATTGGTGTTTTTCTGGTCGGCTAGCGGGAGCAAGCTTTGCTGCGAGTGAGATGCTAATGAAATCCGGACGTTTTGAGATTTATCTAGTGTTTTTTTCGGTTTGAAACTCTTTCTTAATGATTTTT